CGGTCAAGGCGTTGGGAAAGCCGACCATTACTCCAGGTAAATTTAGGCCCAGTGAATCCGACATCAATAAGCCCACAATCACGAATGCAGGCCGCACCTCCTTTGCGCTCCGAGGGACACGTGATGGAGTTAAAACCCCCTGCTAAGAGCCACGGCCTCTCAATATGCTGCTCCATTCTACGAATCGCCGCCCAAAGGGGTTGTCTGTCATGGTCATTAGGCTTGGCATAGATCGCAGTCAAGAGAACTGGAGCACTGTTTTGAACTGTACACAAAAGGTGAAGGAATTGTGAGTCACGATCCAATTCAGTAATCGACAGGTGAGTATCATTCCAAAGCACCCAAATACCACCAGAAAAGCCAATAGCATCAACTACAATATGTTTATCAAACCCCATCGTCTTAATAACATCTTCAGCATCCTTATCACTGATCTGTGGCTCGACAATAAAGACAATATTAGGTCTATGGGTAAACACATACTCCTTAAAGGTAGCAAGAAACTTGGGGTGTTTTGCCCCCCCGGCAGTTCCAACTGAAAATATTAATCATAAGGAAAATTAAAGGGATGGGTCGGTGACTTCCCTGAAAAACGAATTAGGGGGGAACCACTCAAATTGCCGGCTTCGCCAGCGGGGTTTCCTCTCCCATCGGGGCACTCGCATCGGAAGTTTGTTCTCCTTCAGTACTCGTGGGCTGCTCAGTGATTTCTTCCATAGCGTCATTGTTTACTTTGGAACCCGAACAAGAGCTGCCAGCAGGTGGCAGGGATTGGAGTTGGACGAGGAACTCTTCGACAGCTTTCCGATGGCTGGACTTATTTTGCTTTTTTGATGTGCGCTTGCTGCTTCCCGTTCCAGCTCGCATTTCGTGGCTATTCTTTGCTACCCGGAGAATGGGAACCTTCTTCTTCTTTGGAATGGACTCGGCTTTCCCTCTGTTGTGTTCTCGAATTGATGAGTAATTACGTGGGACAGTTCCTTTCCCCGGGGACGAAACTTCACTATCAAAAGGATGGTCCGGATCCGCTGAAGAGGACTTGCAAATTGGGTTCACGTTCTTGGGCTCATTCTCACCAGGGTCCATCATTTTCAGGTCATCTATTGATTCTTTAGTGGGCTTCGGACTAGGGGCTATGGTGACTTCCTTGGGCTTCGGGTCCACCATGCGCCACATTTGAGATGGGCCTGGGGCCCGACTTTCCTTTACTAGGTTATCCACCGAGACGTCTGCCTTCCCAGATTGCAACGGCGCCTTTCCCTTTTTCAGTTCCCCTTTCGGCTCCTCCTTCCCTTTCTTGTCTTTCGAGTTCTTAGGGATTGCTTGATCTTGCTTCGTATTCTTTCCCGATTTGCTCCCCATCTTTCCAGCGTCAATTTTTTTTCCGTTGGATTACCTTGGGCGGATCCCTGGCTGGCTTGCCCTTTCCTATTCTGGCTGCGTGATTTCCGAATCACCTGCATCCAAGGACCGTAACCCGCCGGCTGCTCCGGCGGTTGTTCTTCCGGTGACTGGAGCAAATCTGCCGCACCCGCCTGAGAGATGCTCGCCTGGGAATTGTGAAGCTCGGGGCAGGCTACTTCCGAGTGCCCGATTCGACCACATTCAAAGCAGATTTCCGGCAAGTTTTCATAGATCACTTGTTGCCAGAACCCATCGAGCCTAATCCGCGTCTTCAGAGGCTTGGTCATATCGAGCTCCACGGCGATCCGAGCGAATTTCCCTCTTTCCATATGTTCCGTATGATAATCGAGTTTGACCGTTCTTCCCAAAAGATTTCCCAACGCGAACAACACTTCTCGATGGTAGAAATGAATTGGTAACTCAGGTAGCTGGACCCATGCTACCACAGATCGGTGAGGTTTGTCGGATGTTCGGAATGTGTGCGTCCATTGATGAACAATCAAGTAGTGATCAAGGATCACCCAAGGACCGCCGGTGAGAGCATTTAGGTAATCCTTCTCATTGCTGAAATTGACCAAGAAAGTTGAGTTATTCAAATATAGTATTTCCATGTTCCCAACAGGTTTCCATTTCCAACGGAGTTGCGAGCAGATGTATTGGTACGAGACCGATTTTCCCAGGAGCCGCGCCACCAGGGTACGCTTCCACGGTAAACAGAGGCGTTCTTTGAGTTGGGGCGATATCTTTAACTCCGGTTCGCCGTTGTATAGTCCGACCTCCAAGTCATGCTCGCCAATGAAAGTCCATTGTTGGCCCTTAGTCGGAGATGGAACCGGGGATCCCGCAAGCGCCAGCTTGTAATTCAACGGAGGTGAGCTTGGTGAGCCTTGCGCCGTTAATGGGATGCACGACAGAGTCGTAGAAGTGGGGTCCGGCGGCCTGCCCGAAAGAGCCATGTCGGCGTCCGGCGGGTTATAGGCAGTCGGAAAACCAGAGAGCATCTTCAGAGAATTCTCCATATCAATACTTTAGTGCTTACTCCTCTGCGATAATACCACTCGAATCATTATTTATTACATTTAACTTAGGTTTGCTAGTGGAAACTGGAAAGTAACGAGCGTCTTATTTGCTATTTCAAAAAATTAAATTTTGAAAATATCTCGCCTCTTTATAATAGAGATTTTCAACGTGAAAATTTACTACTAATTAAATTAGTAGTGTTCATTGTGGGTTATAGTAGTGAACTAATGATTATATATTTTCTTGTACTTCTTTTAATTGTTATCAGTAGTGATTTAGGAATTTCACATCAGTAGTGATTTAAAAATTGTAGAAAGGAATGATAACGACTAATCAGAAACATAAATCAATGCTTACAAATGGAAAATCGTTATTAGATAGAGAAAACCACTAAATATATGCACAATAACTACTAATATGAACAATAAGCCAAACTGTTATGTGGATTTCTCTGATTAGAACTTCCACGACTACGTCGCAATAATCAAACGATAAACGTAAGGAACAAACTTAGAACGAATAGAATTGAGATGAAAGAGACAAACTACAAACTACTAATGAATTTTAATTTTCAATATAACATTAAACTGGAGACTCCCTACATATTTATAGGGAGAAGCTTATGGGGAAGATTATGGGGATCATAAGAAGGATCATGGAAGATGGTGTTCAAGGGTTCAGGAACTTCATTAAGGCTATAGGGAGAAGCTCTGCAAAATTTCTTCATAAACTTCAAGAGAAAAAGAAGAGTCTCTGCTCAATTCGCTGAGAAGTCAACATAAGGTTAACACGGATGTTGAACTTTTTCAATTGATAATCATGTTGTCGAAAGAACTGAAGTAGTTTGCCACATCTTTTTTACAAGTACACTACATGCAGAAAAAGGTGAACCTCAAAGATCTTAGGTGGTCATGAAAAGTGTTGAAGCATAAGGACGATTGAGATAGAGATAGGATTCAAATTGATAAGCCGCGAGTTAGTGTTAAGGGGTTTGTGTCCAAATGTCTCAGCAGGCAGTAATCGTGATTTTCTAGAGAGAATTGGTATGAAGAGAAATATCTGCTATACATTCTTATAAGCAGTTATGTACTATTTTCTCCTGGATAATTTTAGTTTTCAGGCTCGAAGCGGTCTACCTCCTCCGACAAGCAAGTGTAAGTTGAAGGTAAGTGCGTCACATGTCGACTCATTGCCAGAAGTGGTAGACTGGTTAGCTCAAGTGGTAGACTGCTTGGTGGAAGTTGTAAACCATTTTTTTGGAAAGTGGTTGACCACTTGGTGGAAGAGGTCGACCACTTAAAGGTAATTGTGTCATCAGGTCGACCCATTTCAGAAAGCGGTAGACCGGTTGACTCAAGTGGTAGACCACTTGGTGGAAGAGGTCGACCACTTGAAGGTAAGTGTGTCTTCAGGTCGACCCATTTCCAGAAGTAGTAGACCGGATGAGCAAGTGGTAGACCACTTGGTGGAAGAGGTCGACCACTTAATGGAAGAGGTCGGCCGTTTTCTCCAAGTTATGGTGACTTGCAAGTTACCATAGGCATACCCAAACATTTATACATATTATCATGGTTAAAAAAGACACACTTAATCTTACGCCTAGGCTCAAGGCAATAGCAAAACGCCTCGCCTTGGAGTTTCACGCCTAATTAGATACTGGAATACGTCAATGGAGTAAGGCGACATATAAGTCTCTCCTAAAGATAACTAGATGGATCTAGGAAGTCAATATTAAAGGAGAAAACTAACATCAACTACGAAATCAATTTTATATATCAATATTTTCAATAGCTCAAGAAATTTGTAAGCTATTGAGCTACGATTCTTTGAATTCTTCAGCTATGTTCTTATCATTAAGTGTTGAGTAAGTTATTAATCATTTTAACTGAGTGAGGAAGGGTTGTAGATTATTATTTCATTCATCATGCAGTGTGAATAACTTGTTTTCTTCGATCGCCTAGGCACGCTTAGTCTACATCTAGGCGAGCTAGGCGCTAGACAAATGCTCAATGCCCACCTTACGCCTAGCGCCTTTTTAACCTTGCATATTATATAACTAGGGGTATACTTGGAACAAAAAAGGAACTCAACGATCTCCTCAAAATTATCTCAACAATCTCAAGTTTTAGTAGAGATATAGTTGTTCACATCATCAAAACAATGGATGTATTGTTACAATAAATAAACAAAAAAAAAAATAATGCTTTGTTAAAAATGCACACATTATAACAATCTCATCTAAATTATCACCAAAATAAAACGAACCCTTAATCGCAAAAGAAAGTTGAAGATCTTATCCTCAAGCTTGAAATATCTAAAAAAAAAAAGGAATATCCATAAAATGGCAGAGGGAATTAATACATGGTGGCCCCTTGCAAATCTAACAAGAATGCTGCTTCCTTTTTCCTTGTTTCCCTTGGCATCAGTTTTTGGCCTTTTCACTGTACAGAGCTCCAAGACAGCACCACTCTGCCCGCAACCCGCGAAAAGAAAATTTGCAGACCTTTGGAAGCATTCGCAGTTGACACCAACACAAACACCAAAACTTGTCCATACAAACGGCAGTCGGCAGCCAATCTTGAAAAGTGAAAACCCGTGGCTCAAAAAAATATGATTCAAAGAAAAGATAGATAACAAGATATATAAGTTTATTATTATAATGAAATGCTAAACGCTGGCCACTCTAATACATTACCACTGCATATAGCTGGTACGAAAAAAGAGAACATTGGATGATGATGCAGTAAGCAGCAAGTCATCCCATCCCTCAACATGATTGAAAATTAAAATGGACATAAACTATAATCAATCTAATTTTCCGGTTATTCCAAAACAACCTCTCCTCCTACCATTCCACAAGTCTCTCGCCTTTCTACCACAAGATCTATAAGCCAAATCCTTCCAAAAGAGCAGCTTCAACTGAAGCTTTTAGAACTGGCTTCATTCCTTGCCATCGGCAGCACGAAGAGAACCCAACTGAACCGGAGCTTGAGTTCCAACCACTTTGGATGATCCATAGACAGCCAAGTCGATACCCTGAGCCTTCTCCTTCTCAATCTGTTCCTGGATCCATAAGTATGTGAATCTCAGGCCATCCTACAAAGCACAACAGTCGAGTGTCAAAGAGTTAGACTTGGAAAAGGAACTCCAAATCAGGATAGTCTTAGTTGTAGTCATGTACCTTCAGCCTCATTGTTGGAGCCCAACCAAGCTTTTCCTTGATCAATGTGTTGTCAGAATTACGACCACGGACACCTTCTGGACCCGGGATATGATGGATGGGGAGCTTCCTGTCCCCAAAGCCAAGAACAATCTCGGCCATCTCATTCATGCTCACCATCTCATCACTTCCAATGTTCACTGGCTCCCGGAAGTCGGACTTTGTCAACCTAAGGCGTCGAAAGGAGTTTATGTCAGCATGTCATGTACCACCAAGTCTATCACCATTTTGTCAGACTTCATATAGCATGATAATTTCCAGATCCCTCATTGTTTTCTTCAGAGGTATCTAGGACAAATTCTCCCAGAAAAATGGGTGGGATAACATGCATGACCAACTTTTCTAGAGTGCATTTTTCAAATCTTCCATCACCAGATATATGAGAATGCTGAATGCAACATTCTAATGCATTTGGCATGTGCAATTCCAAGCTGTCTTCAAATACATCAAAAGTGTCAACCAAAAAGAAAACCAGACATTTGTTCATTGGCATGTTATTGCAAATTTCATCTTCTCAAATACACCCACCCAAAAGTTATGACTTATGACAACCCTAAAAGAGATCTTAGGCATTTACCTGAGTACACCTTCCACACATTCATCAATGAAGGTGAAGGATCGAGTTTGGAGTCCATCTCCCCACATCTCGAACTTATCAGTAGCAGTAAGTGCCTTTCTGCAGAAGGCAGCCGGTGCCTTTTCCCTGCCACCTATTATTAAAGACGATCAATCCACATAACAGTGAAAAGCTAGAAGCAGATAATTAAGTTGCAATCACTGTTGTTTCCATGCCTCACCTTTCCATGTTCCAAAGGGACCATAAATGTTGTGGAACCTTCCAACACGGCATTCAATGCCAAAGTCCTTGGTGTAGTGCTTGCACAGCTCCTCTGTTGCAAGCTTCTCCAAGCCATAAGCATCTTGCGGCTAAAGAACAAAATTTGTAACAAATTTTAAAGATTTTAGTAGGCAAAAATAGGTCAAGTGATTTCTTACATACATTATACTAAACCATTAAAAGTAAACCGACCTCTGCAGGCCAGGCATCAGATTCCTTCAAGCTCACATTTGTCTCCAGCTGTTTAAACTCAGGATAAATACACGCACTAGAGGCATAAAAGAACCTACACAAACCAAATCATCATCCAAAATAAATTATGAATTTCAAACCCCACCCAAGGAATTTCAACCTATAATAAGGCAACAAAAGAAACCACGGGAAATGCAGTAACTAACCTCTTAACACCATTGATCCTAGAGGCTTCAAGCATGTTGAAGCTGATCATGGTATTGTTGTACATGATAACAGAATGGTTGGACTGAATGAATCCCATCCCGCCCATATCAGCAGCCAAGTTGAAGACATGGTCAACACCCTCGGTAACCTTCAAGCAGTTATCCATAACCCTAAGATCCACAAGATGGAATTCATGACAGAACATGTCTTCTGTCATGTGCTCATTCTTCTTCCAGTCGGAGGCAATAATGTAGTGACCTTCACTCTTCAAACGCCTCGCTATGTGAGAGGCAATGAAACCACCAGCTCCAGTAATGGAGATTTTCAGCTTCTCAGATGGCCAATAGGGCTCCCTCTCAAGAGCCTCATACGTGTAAGCCCCGTAGCTGGCTCCATCGTGGCTCCCCATAGTGACTGAAACAAAAGAATGATTCAGAACAGCAGCGATACAAGATAAGAAGCCAATTGATTCTATATATCCAACAATCATTACAGTAAAGCACCCAAAACCAAACAGTCATAAACAGAGCAATCAATCCTCACAGAAAAAGGAATCCTTCCATTCAATTCTCCCCCACACAAAATAAAATTTTACAAAAACATAAACAAAATCTTAGGCCTCCATTGAAAAATCAATTCACACAATTCCAGAAAAACTGGACCAAAATCAGCAAAATTATACAGAGAAAAGCAGGAGAAATCTCAAAACAGAACTGAAAACTGCAGCTGAATGCATGGCGGAATTGAAAAATAGACAAAGGATGCAATCCTCGCATTCGCAAAAGAAAAAGAAAAACGAGAACCCGTTGCTGGTATTAAAAAACCCATGAAAAAGAGAGCCGAGAAGATCAACCAATCGACAGAAAGACAGAATTCTGGGACAAAATTGACCTTGAATCTTTATACCTGCGAGAGATACTGGAAGGTGGGCGGGCGGGAAGAAGAGTTCTGTGATGTCTGAGATTTGGGTTGTGTGGGACTTGAGAGATATGGCTTTCTTTATATATAGATAGGGAGAGAAGAAGAAGAAGCGCGGACGCGAACAAGACCACTCATTCGCTTATTACTTTCTTTCCTTTCTCCCTATGTCAAGTAATCTGTGCCATTATTATAATTAAATTTCTTGCATTAATCACTGATTAGCGGAAGGAATTTGCATAGGCTAGGCTGGCGAGGAGGGAACGACTGAAGGAAAGAGAAAAAACATGGTGTGAAGCCGGTGGACCGCAGCTAGGAATGGCAACAATTGCGAGGTGGGTAACTTTTTTTTTTACAAGAGGACACTTCATTTCCATTACTTGTTGTGAAAGCCAAGTGTTATAAGAGAGGTGATACAACATTAAGAATATGAACTCATTCAGAGGGTAAAGTATCCCTGGCACAAGATCTAGCTACCCAGTTTGCTTTCGAGTTGCTCTTACGACCAATGTGCGTGATCTGGATCAAAGGATTGGAATCCATCATTTGTCTGATAGTGCTAATCCATGCAGTCGCTCACCATGGCCACGATCTCGGATGATCATGAATTGCCTTAACAAGAGGCAGGCAGTCAGAGCGAACAAGGCAGGGGGAGAGGAGATTAGCAGCCAAACGAGAGCCTTCCAAGAGGGCCTTGGCTTCAGCTTCAAGTGGGGAAAAGCAGTGCAGAATCTCAGCCTTACCGTCACAGACTTGACCATGGCTGTTCGAAACAACGACGCCATAAGCCGCCTCCTGGGAGTCACTGAAAAACGACCCATCGCAGTGTATCTCAAAGTCATGAGTACTTGGCAATGATGAAGAATGATTCGGCGGTGGGGTAGGCTGAGCTGGAGAAGTGGCAGTGGGGGGTTTCTTGGGGCAGGAGGTCCATTGGTGATGTGCAAGGGTCTCCTTTGAAATCGTAGATGGAGGTTAGAGAGTGGTATTCTTGAAGACTCGTTCATTCCTTGATTTCCATATGACCATATCTGCCAAAGGAGAAAGATAATCTTCTGGACAGAGCAGATCGAGTACCTAGAGATCAAAGAAGTAAACCATTCCAGAAAAGGTGTGCTGGGAGCAGGTGGAGGTAGAGAGGGCCACTCCTGTTTCCATCCTTCTGCTGCATGAGGGCCGGTGAAAAGGCAGTGGTGAATCAATTCAGAAGGGTGAGCACATAACGGACAAGTCATGGATGGCGAGCACTTCCTTGCATGAAGGTTCTCTTTCGAGGCTAGCGCTCCTTTGGAAATCCTCCAAACAAAGAATTTGAGTTTCGGGGGGATTGATAGGTTCCACAACCATTTCCATCTGTCCTTGCTAGCTGCGGAGACACTTTCCACATGCCGTTGTAACGTTCTGACCCGGTGGTGGAAGTGATAGAAAGCTTACTTCACCGTGAAGGAACCTTGTTCAGTGAATCTCCAGGCCCAGAAATCTTCCAGGGATTCCGGGCCAACTGGGATGGCCGCCACTTGTCTCAAATCATGTGGGCTAAGAAAATCTTCAAGAAGATCAAACTTCCACTCTCTGGTGATACCATCAATCCAGTCTTCCGCGGTAGTTTGGTCAGGCCAATCAAAATCAAGGAGGGTCAGCACGATCTCTTATCCATGGGTCCTGAAACAGTTTGGTTGATTTACCATTCCCAATAACCTTGATGATTCCAAGTTCGATCCATTTCTTTGCCTCGCATAAGCTAACCATATCCAGGATGCCATTCCTCCTTTCTTGGAGCTTAGAAAATCCGAGTTAGGGAAGTAGATGCTTTTGAGAACCTTGACCCACATGGCATCTTTGTTTGTGAGGATTCTCCAGGCTTGTTTGGTAAGCAGGGCCAAGTTGAAAACATGAAAAGGAAAGAAACCAATACCCCCCTCATTTTTTGGAGCATAGAGGACATGACCTGCCCTCCAATGGATCGTTCTCTTGATCATCGAGCCACCCTAGAAGAAGTTTTTCAGCATGGTATCCATCTTCTTTGTTGTTGCTTTTGGCATGAGGAACAAGCACATAATGTAGGAGGGGATAGCTTGGAAGACAGCTTTAAGGAGAACTTCTTTCCCCCTGGTGACAGGAGGAGGCTTTTCCATGCTTTACCTCTTTTTTCCATCCGTTGTAAGAGAAAGTTGAAGGTCTCCTTTTTAGATCTCCCCCATTCAGTAGGAACTCCAAGATAGTTGGAGTGGCAGTTTGTTGGAGCAAAACTGGAGTCCTGGATAACCCTATCCTGTTGATTACTGGGGACATTGAAGCTGAAAAACATTGAGGATTTCTCCTTGTTAACCTCTTGGCCAGTCACAGCCCCATAGTCCTTGATGATATCCAAAATCTTCCCAGCTTCTTCAGATGAGGCTTCCCCGAAGATGACTGTGTCATCTGCGAATAAGCAGTGGGTCAGAGTAGGGCAAGATCGGTTGATTTTGATACCTTTGATGTCATTAGTCATAACTGCTTTTTCAATCAGGAAGGACATGGCATTCGACATCAGGATGAAGAGAAGGGGAGAAAGCGGGTCTCCTTGTCGGATTCCTCTGGATGGTTTGAAAGCATCAGAGGGTTCACCATTGAAAAGCAGTCTAAAGCTAACTGTTGAGATGCATGCTTGGATCCAGTTACACCAGACCCTATTGAACCCATAAGCCCGGATAAGAGTGATAAGAAGGTCCCATTCAACCAAATCATAGGCCTTTCTCATATCTAGTTTCATCATCATTTCCTTTCTGTTGCCCGTTTTGTGCTTCTTGAAGTGGTTGAGAACCTCATGGAAAATGATAATATTATCTTGAATCTGTCTTCCCCCTGTGAAGGCTGATTGTAGCTCATTGACCAGATCAGGTAACCAGGGTTGAAGTCTGTTAGACATGATCTTAGTAATAGCTTTGTATCTGAAGTTACAGCAACTAATGGGCCGGAATTGGTCGATCATTTATGGTGCTTCAACCTTGGGGATAATGGTGATGAAGGTATCATTCCAACCTGTTGTCATAATACCTGTCATGAAAAAATTTGAAATCTTCTGGCTAAAGGCATCACCGAGGGTGCTCCAAAATTTCCTGAAGAACAGCCCTGGGAACCCATCAGGTCCCGGAGCTTTGTTAGCCCCAAGCTGAAAGACAGCCCTTCGAATCTCATCCTTTTCAACTGGTGCACAGAGACCGTTGTTCATTTCTTCTGAGACAAGGCTGGGGCAGCCTTCCAGAATACATGGATCAGACTGTTCATTCTTGCAGCTGAAGAGGTTGTGATAGAACTCGTTGACATGATCATCAAGTTCATGAGGATTGGTAATCCAGTTCCCCTCTGTGTCCCTGAGTTTCAAAATGCGATTACGATTCTTCCTTTTGATTGTGCTAGTATGGAAGAAGCCAGAATTCTGGTCCCCTTCCTGCAGTCACGAGATTCTGGACCTTTGGGCCCAGAAAGATTCTTTTGAGATCCACAAAGTTTCCAGTTCCAGATGGAGGTTCTTTTCCTCAGTGACTACCGCGGGGGATCGGAAGGTCCCCTGTAGATCTTGCAATCTGCTTCTTATTTCTTTTTCTCTCTTCAGCTTGGTCATGTGGCAGATCGGGTAATTTATTATGTGATGCAGGTCACGACAAGTCGATCTAGGGGGGGAAGCATGGTGTAACGCCAGTGAAATGCAGGTAGGTTGAATTCAGTGATGATAATGGGGCTAAGCGGGACGACCACCTCAATATCCCTTTTTTCTCCGCACCAAGCAAGAGTCGGGACGGATAATACCCGTGCGAGTACGGAATGGGGCGAGTCAACCAACTATTATATGTTATTTGAAAAAAAGTGCATGCAAAATTTTACTTTGTTAAACGAAGAGAAAACATTTTATGAATGAAAAATAGTGATAAAAGAACGAGTAATGGAATCTAACTAGTTGAAAGATCAAGACTAATTAGTTGAAGACAAATAAAAATAGGAAAATATGAATAGATATTGTAAAAAATTGAGATAAAATAGGCCAAAAGCAAGGCATGGTGGATCGAAAGTAGATACACATGCCCCGTCATAGGATACCGTTGGTCGGGTAATACCTGCCTCAACACTGGCCAGCTCGGGTAATACCCGACGAGACTTGTTCAAATTGTAATCTCTAGTTGAACCTAGTTTAACAGGTGTCAGTTATGAAATGGATATGAATATCACTAGTATAACCAATACGATTGATTTTCCGCCTATAAATAAAATGACATCGTTTCAGTGAATTTAATTAACAAAAAATTAAATATCAATTTATTTTATGAATTTAAAAAGTTAAATGTTGATATTATTTGTTGAATTCAAGTATAAAATTTTGGGTGTGATGTTATTTGTTAAATATTATATTTTGAATTTTGTATGAAATTTATATATAAACATAAACCGTAAATAATTTTTTTCAATATGTTTTTTATATGTTTAAATTAATTTGATGTCAATGATTTTCATTTTTATTAAACTGGTATGAACAGGCACAATAGGATTTAATCTCTAATCATACCATACTACTTGCTAAATTGGCACAATGATATAAACGACATATAAAAACACAACACTTCCACAATGGCCAAGTATAATCACCGCGGAAGACTGTAGTAAAGTGGATTCGGTTTAAATTAACCCGGTCCTAGGTGTACTAGCTGTAACACCCTTAATGTTTTGGTTGGGTTCGACCGGTGGTAAAGAGTTGGATCGGTTCGGGATTGGGTAAAACCCATTACTAAGTGGAGATTTTTATTTTAATTAATTTTTGTTGATAAATCATAATTAGGATTAATAGATTTAATTACTGTTGATAAATCCTAGTTAGGATTAATAGATTTTAATTGAAATAATACAAAAAAAAAGGCAAAATACACTTGTATAGCCATAACTTTCACGTTTATGACAAATATAGCAATAACTATCCGAAAACACAAAATAACCAATTCCGTCCAACATTTTAACGGTGTTACTTAACAGTATGGATAGACTAACGAAAATGCTGAGTTGGCAAAATTCGTCCCCACCGATCCACCTGGATTAACAGAAATAAAAATAAAAATAAAAACTCCTTCCTCCCCGTCGTTAATTTTGTGAATTCGAAAAACAAAAATCTAAACAAAAAAGAACAAATTAACACGAAATTCCCAGTACAACCACATGAATCCCTAAAATCTATTTCCTCCATTGTTGTTCTCCGAAGCTTCCCATCAACGGCGTATGTATCCATTTCCCCTTCCTCCTCTCTTTCCTCCTCTTCTTC